ATCGAAACGCAGTGAAAAAGACTTTAATAGAGGAGATTTAGTTCTTGTTTTATCAACGAATCGTCAAAGTAAACTAGAAGTACAATGGAAAGGACCTGAAAAATAGAGCAAAAATTTCAGAAAACCAATTATATTGTAAGTTTCGAGGAACAAAATGAGCCAAATCAAGTATATCACATTAACATGCTTAAACATATTACAAATGATCAGAAATGATTAATATGATAACTGAAGTGGAAGGAGACTTAGAAATGGACATGCCTCATTTAACTTCCAATCCAAATACATTAAATTTCTCGGACATCATAGAGAAGAATGAACTCGAGAAAAGGTTGAAACATGAGCAAAACATAAGATATATGAAAGGTTTTATGAAAATATTCTGTTTGTTTTTCAAATAATCCTGGACTAACAAACTTAGTTGTCACGATATTGAACTATTAAATAATGAACCAATAAATGCCGAAAACCAGAAAACTTAACCATACAGACTGTTACCCCGACAGACTGAAATTCTCAAAAAGAAAATTCAGAAAATGCTCGATCTCAAAATTATAGAGCCTGCAGAATCGGACTATACATCTCCCATGATTCTGAATGGAATCTTTATCAAAGGATCCTCGGACATGTATTGATTATCGTAAACTCAATGCTGTTACTAAAACTGAATACTACCTTGCCTAATATTGAGAACGTATCGAAACTGTAGCAAAGCAAAATATATTACCCTATTAGATTTATCTAAGAGGCTACTGGCAATTCCGTTAACAGAAGAGCCCAAAGATATGCAACATTTGTAACTAGTTTTGGAAGTTTCAGGCCTCTACGTTTACCCTTTGGATTAAAAAATGCCCCATATTTTTTTAGCAAAGTTATGACTAAATCCTGGCTGGATGCGAAGGATTCGCTGTACCATACCTGGATGACATTGCCATTTACTCAGAAAACTGGGAAGAGCACCTTAAAAACCTAACTTCTGTTCTAGAGAGAATACAGAAAGCAAACTTACGACTAAAACCATCAAAATGTAAATTTGCACAAGATCATGTGAGATACCTAGGCCATGTCGTGGGACAAGGACAACGAACCCCGGATGAAGTAAAGATCCTGGCTGTGAAGAAGTATCCTACACCTAAAACCAAAACAGAAGTACGTGCTTTCTTAGGACTGGTAGGGTATTATCGCCAGTACATACCGAGATTTTCAGAAATTGCTTCACTCTCTCACGGACGCTTTGAAGGGGTGGTAACAAAAAAGGAAATATACAATGGTCTGAAGTATGTGACAAAGCTTTTAAAAATTTAAAAGAGTTGCTATGCAGGAAAACCAATTCTGTGCCCCGACTTTGATAAAAAGGTTTATTATACAAACCGATGCCTCAGACAATGGCATGGGTATAGTACTATGCCAATTAGATGATGAACAACATGAACATCCTATCTTGTATATAGCAAAAATTTACTAAATTTGAAAAGAATTATCGTAACTGCTGAAAAGGAGTGTGCGCTGCTATCATCTACGCTATCAAGAAATTTACATTTTTATCTGGATGGTCAGCAAGAATTCTTGATTCAAACTGATCATAACCCTTGGGGTCTGGCTACAATCCAACGCCAAATGTAACTCTAGATTGATTGCGTTGGGCACTCTTATTACAACCTTATAATTTTAATCATTCATCGCAAAGGAACTTTGCACAAGAACGTAGATGTTCTGAGTAGAATTAAGTAATATAAATATATAAGAGTAAGAGTATATACTAATAATAAGAGTATGTTAACCACGTTTAGAACTTATTTTATTATTAATGTATGCTCAACTGATGTATTTGAACGATCTCCATTTCTTTTTATTTAAACGTGGTGTAAAAGTATTTATTTAAAACTTAAAATCTTTGGCCTGAAATTTGTAAATTTATAAGAGAAATTACCTTTACTCTTTAAGCAATTGAGCAAGCCGAGCTTATAAACTTTCAAATTTTTACAGAACTTTTCCCTTCGGTAAAAGTCTCTCCGTTGGGGAGAGGTTGTAACAGCTTTACATATTATTAAAATCTTGTAGTTTAAATAATTTAAATAGATGAACATTGAGGTATTTGTGAATGGCAATATTTGAAACCAGACTCGAGTGCAACGTGCGACTCTCGCACAAAGAATGTAATTTATTTTTAAATGTTAGAATATGTTTTCTCTTCTTGTTTGTATGTCGCCATTTTTGAGTGTTAAATAAAAGTTATTGCTGTGTTCCATCATTGGAGTTGCTTCATTTCGCCAAAGAAGTATTACACAGGGTAGAGCAACATATCTCGGTAAGATGGATAGTGTTTAACACAACATTTTCGTACATGTTTTTTACTCGTAAACATTTTATATTTAAAAAAAATTAGCGAATAAACTACATAAATTAGATATTGTATGATGCAGAAAGTTAAAAGAAAATAAATGTATATATATATTAAAAGAAGTAAACAAAATAGCTAAAATTTTAGGAACAAACTGATTCTAAAGATTTATTATTCCCTATAATTTCATATAAAGGGCTATATGACAAAATTGTTACATTCTGAAAGTTTACCTTAAATAATTCACTTTTTAATCTGGAAAAAAATGTATGACAACCTTTCAAGATATATTCAGTTACCGAAATCTGAAAACTTCATCCTAGAATCTAACACTTAGAAGAAAAGTTTACTGTTAAAGTCTTCAATTTAATTCACTAACAGAAAAATATAAAAACTCATCGAAGGTTTAAAAGTGGTGCAGTCTGTTGGTTTTTTGATTCCATTTTACACCCGAAACTATTTTAAGACTAACAATTATGATGTCTATCAATGGCCGAGCGGATAATAGTGCTGATCAGTGGTAGTTCGACCTGTGTTCAAATCTTTCGCCATCCGTATTATGTTTAGAAGCCAATTTCCCTTAAGAAGTCTTCCATGAAAGCATCTTCCCTTACGCACAGAACTGAAGTGGGGTTTGTCATAAGCAATAAATTATAATAGCTTTGACATACTAAAAATAAAATATAAAGTCACCAGGGAAACTTCTCTATGAAGACCATCCATGGGTCCAGACGAATAGAAGTGGGGACCTTAAAGAAATGTTCAGTACTAATGTTTGTTTGGTGTCCGCCGAAAACAAAGGATAATTTTTACTTCAATATTTTTATTAACTAATAAATAGTTGCTGAAAATGTAATATGGAAACTTAAGCAGAGAAAATTAATGCAACTTATAGCTCTTAATAGAATTTTAAACTGACATAGTTAACTAACAAAGGTCATTAATAAATTATTTTTTTTATAAAGTTTTACTGGTAATTTTTCGTGAAAAGTATAATCTAAAAAAGAATAGAAAAAGAAAGATAAGTACCTTATCTATAAAAAAATTGCTAAGTTAATTGTGAGATTATTTTCTTCACTTTTGTTAATGTGATACTCTCGTAGTGAAAATTATTTCTTGTTTTATTTTAATCTCTTGTTCTGTTTTTTTTTTCTTTAAATTTATTAGTTAATAAAAAACATGAAAAAAAATTACCCTTCTTTCCATCTTGTGCTCACAAATCATTATAATATCCATTTATAAATATTAAAGTCTTAAAACTCATGTCTGTGATGTTATCGTCATACGATGATTTGTAGGCACTTTATTTTTTACCACGATATTTTCGACGACGATGTTTTTAAACATCGAAGTTTTTGAGCGGATTTGTTTTCAACGACGCTATTTTGTACCACGATATTTTAGAACTGCGATGTTTTTTCTTTGCTTTATTTTCTCCCATCTTGTTTTTTCTACGGCGTTTTCGTCCGCGGTGTTTTTGCCACGATGTTTTCGGCTATAACCATTTATTTACTACATTTTAAGGGAAAAAAAAGTGTTTTTCTAAATATTAAGAGCCAAATTGAAGAAAAAACACTTACTGTAATATTACTTTGTCATAAATTTAATACTTCAAGGTCACATGGAGACTTTTGCACTCATTTAGAATCCGATTTAAGAAAATAAAAATCTTGCAAATCTTGCAAAATCAATCTATCTAAACGAACAGGGCGAAACAGCCGTCCAGGGCATTTTGCAAAGCTCTCTTCTACTTCTTTTCAGTGTGGTACCATTGAGCCTGATGAGTATTATGTAAAGTATTTTATAAAACAACATAATAAATCTACATTTTTTCATTTTAATTTATTTAAACAAAAAAACAAAAAAAAAAAAAAAATATTTCGCCTTTTTGTACATTTTTTGTCACTGTTTACGTGCTACAAAATAAAGCTGATACATTTTAAACCAGGGTATTATAATTATTTTTTTGAGGGAATTAGAAAAAGAGAAGGTTGTAAAAATTATTTTTATTACAAACTCAAACTGAATTAATTATATTTCGACGATAAGACCAAATTAATGCAATTAAATTATTTATCGATCTAATAATCAAGTTGGTAAGTAAAATATAGAATTAAAAATTCAGTTTTTTTTTCCATTGTAAAAAGAAAATCATTTTGATTGTTTCTTGCATCATGAAAGAGAAACTTCTTATCCATGCTTTAGAAATTATAGGAACATACAATAACTTCAAGATATTGTTTGTAAATGAGAGTACAGGTCTCAGATGTGAAAAAAGCCGTAAAAAATTTAAATAGGAAGTTTAAAATTTTGTTTATGCTTCTAATTTTACCTTTCAAAATCTTGAACTAAAAAGAAAATAATAAATAAATAAAACTAAAACTTGGTATATTTAAATAGTATAGAAAGGTGTGGCGACTGCCAAAAAGGGGGGACGAGGCACACGTCCTGTTCGCATCTGCATAAATCTTGCTTGTTTAGTACAGAAAAGCTTTGATTTTTTTTTTTTTTTTTTTTCTCCCCTCTCACTTGCGTAAATCCGACAAATGTTTCCCACAAACGAAATGGTAATAATTTTTATTATCACAGAAAAAGAATTAGCGTAATGAAAAAATTAAGCACTTTCTCGAGATGTTAAAAAGAATAATATGACACTTACCAACACAGATTTTAAGAGCCGCCAAAATCAATTCTGAAAACATCAAACTAGATATTAAATTCATGGTTCAGTAGCCGCATTCAAACTAGCTCCTTGTTGGTATTTAGGCCGCATTCAAAGTTAGCTTCTTGTTGGTACTCAGGCCCGAAAGATTCAAGCCGCATTCAACACTAGCTCCTTGTTGGCATACATCAGAACCTTTCTCTCTGATGCGTCAACTGCACGATAATATACGAAGCCAATCGTTCCTGCAGTAGTGGACTTCAGATCGCCAGTTAAGACGATGATAACTTAACCAATTGCGAAGAAGACTCGAGAAGAAGAATTATCTCTTTTTCTGTCACAAGTAGTGTCATAAAACACATTACTCCGTTCTTTTTCTCGCTGCTTTTATGGGCGTAAGAAGTGTCGTCAAATCGAACTTAAAAAGGAATGCTAAACTTTTGTTCAGCAGTGAGCGTAATTTGTTCAATACAACAGTGGATGCGCAAATACTTGTGAAGAGAATAGTCAAAATTTTTCTGCTAACATTGTTCACTTTTCGATTCTAACACATCATTTATGCTACTTTGAGCTGGTTGAAATTAGGTTTAATTTTAATAGTAAATATTCTTCGTAAAAGCATTTTTAAATGCGTTTAAAGAAGCATTTGACGCTTCGGATAATACGATGATTGGCAAAGATGACTGTATACGCCGATGGATCCGGGTTTAAATTCCGAACAAGCGTGGATATTTGTAACAATGTAGTGTCTTTATGAAATGGAAGGCACCTAAAATCCGCTGATCTGAAACTTCTCTACAGAAGCTGGAAATAGAGGAAGAAGTATAAAAGGCTTGAATTTTATCCCTGTATTATTCTTGATATAAATTACGATGGAATAGGTTAGAGAGATAGATCATACATACTTTGTCTAAATCAAATCTTCTTATCTTCAGAAATGCATTATAATTTGTAACCTTTTATTTACAAGGCTATATAAAACCAGTGGTACAATTTAATCTTCGAAAGCTTGGAACTGGATAATACAAATATCAAAACGGAACATTTAAAGTAAAATTCTATGTTATTTCCGATATATAAAATTTTAAGTGGACTTTTTTTAATGCTCTCAATACTCAGTCCAAATCATACTTTAAATACTGCTGCAAAGGGGGCGGGAAGAATGCATTGCACTTTTGAATACCGATGAAGAAGTCTTCTATTTCTACATTTAAAAAATTACAATAGAATTTTCCCTTAATAAGTATTAGAAAAGTAATGCACTTTTCGTTAGTCTTTTTTTTTTTTTTTTTTTTTTTTCCCTTATACTTCTAAATTCAGAAATCTTTTTTTTTCTTTCCCGTCTAATATTCTCTTTTTAATTCTGAATGACAAAAAGTGTTTCTTTTCATAGTATTCCCCACCTTTCGAAAAATGTAAGCAAAAAATGATTCATTGTTCAGAAGAGCACGACTTACTTCTGAAAAATATCCAGACCGAAATAAAGCTCTTAATGAATTCTGGATATTATAACAAAACTTTTAAATAAAATAATAGTGGAAAAAAAGGATATCTATTTCTTCATATACATCAGCATCTACTTTATGAATTTATATAGGTAAAAACAGATGATAACAGAATAACAACTGAAAGTATGGTCACGATTCTTAAGCAAAACGAATTCCGCCTCGGATTATAATACTTGGCGTCAAAAACTTCTTTTATCGCATAAAATAATGCTGGAAATCAGTGGCACACATTCATGACTAGCTGCAAAGCCTATAGAAAATATGTAACTGTTATTCTCGGTTACAAACAGTCTCTCCTGTCTAATACTTTTAGCTTCATATGGGGAAAATGTATCATAGGTATGTTTTTATTTTAAAAAGCTTTTACGTAATTTGCGAGTAACTCGTTTCACGTTTGAAATAACACACACAAGGATGCCACAGAATCCAAACCTGTTTGCATTACTGAAAGTAGACGAAGTAAAGTTACGTCTAAGAATACAAAGTTTAGAGATTACATATCGACACACTGATATCGATGCGTTAGTATGTTCAAACTTCCTTCGGCATAATTCTTATGGAGTGGTGATATGCTAAGCAAAGCCGTTAAATTCAATAATATATTATTTTTTGAAAAGCAACTGAATTCATATCATTGGAATTACTACAACGCATTTGCGATATTATAAGTCGGGCTTATCATTCTAAAGGATCCGATATAAGTAATTATAAATTAAAGATTCAGTTAATTTCATACAGTTTTTGCTGAATCTGTTGGTGTATCTTCCCGCTTCATCTTTATCTTGGAAATCCCAATCTAGCATTCAAATGTAAGATTTATAAATAATGGTGAATGCCCCAAAATTACTGAAATTACATCGCAAAATAAATAGCAGACAACGTCGCATACATTATCACGCAGAACTGTAAAACGCTTCAAAACTGATCTGCTCTTATCTTTGTGTATGCAATCAAAAATTTACTTTCACAGAGACTAAACAATAGCACATAAATTTTGTTTTCCAAATTTAAGTAGTTTACAATTTATTTATACGACACAACAGAAGTGCCAGAAACACTTTATGCTGGAACGCAGTAAAGTCTTCTCCGACTTTGATTTAACATTATCTAAAAAGGCGATCAAGTCAGGCGCTTTTGTACAAGGAACACACGCACAAACAACACTTAATGTGTTGTGGAAAAGCTGCCTTTGAAACAGATGCGTTTCACTTTTACAGCTAAAGAAAGGAGCCCCTTTTTCCTTTACACTCTCTCCTTCTGGAAGAGCAAAGAAGATTTTTTTATAATCTGCTTACATATATGGGACTAAACTTCATCGTTAAAAATGCTTTTTACATTAAAAAGAGAGTCATTAGGTTTATCTATGCAAGAAACATAAAAAATATACAATGCCCTCGCCGGGATTCGAATTCTGGACCTCCCGATGCTAGTCAGACGTGCTTCAAATTACATCACGAAAGCACACAACAAGAAGAAAGAAAATATCTTACAAGAGATCTTAAGAGATTGGTTAAATTAACTGATTTTTGTAGAGCAACTCAATGAATATCTGCCTGAGGGGAGGGATGCCTTCGTGAAAACCTTTTTAAAGCAAACTGGCTCATATTCTCGTATACATATGTAGCCATCCCGTATATAAGGATTCGAACACCGAATGAAACAACAATATTTGATATAAGTGGTATTTTGTCCACTCTGTGACTGGTAAAGGATGAGGACAAGATAACTGATTTGGCTTCATTACTGAGATATCTATTATTTGGGGAATTTCGGGTACATATATACATATAAATATAATGTAGATTAGTATAATTACTGTAACCTGTATTTGTGCTACATAATTGTGTTGTAATATTTACACTTACGATGTTTGTGAATGAATGAATTAACTATATAGATAAAGCCCGATTTACTTAACTCGAAGCTCGGGTTAAATCACCTTCTTTTCTAATTTTTTTCAACGTAATATATATCGTTGGTGTCATTAAACAAAGCACTTTTTAAAATAACCTATTTATTCAATATTTTTTTATTTTAAGTTATTTAAACAAAACAAAAGTTTTGTATATTTTTTCTTCAAGGTTTTTATTTATAAAGTCTTGCATATAATATAACTTTATACATTTTAAATTAGAGTGTTATTTTTTTCTGGAAAGATTAATTACATTAATTTATTGAGTTATTGAGAAAAAGCCCACAAAAACTATTTATTTAGAACTGAAACTAAAAAAAAAAAAAAAAAAAAAAAAAAGAAAGAAAGAAAGAAAAAAAGAAAAAAGAAAAAGCTTTCCTCAGCCAGTTTTTAATTTTATAGGATATACGGTATTTCTCCCGCCTTCTTAGCATGCCTTCGTGGCGTAATTGGAAGCGAACTCGACACGTATTCGAGTTGTCCACAGTTCGAGTCCTGGCGAAGGTGTTGTTCATTTTTCATGACTCCTGCTTTCAAAAAGTACCTAACGTCTCCTACAAGGATATAAGACTAAAAATGTACATAAAATTTGATATAGTCTAAATACTGTAGGAGAATTTGGAGGCTTTCCTAAAAGCAGACGCTCTGGATAAATGATCAGTCTGACCTATCATAAATCAGCCTTGTCTGACCTGTCGTGAATTGACTTGTGTGTATGCACAGAATTAATTTTTTGAGCCAGTGAACACTTAATATACAAAATAAACAAGCAAATAAAGGACGATTTATGTATATTTTGTATTAGCAAAGCATAAAATAGAGTACTAGAAATATGTAGTGTTATGCATCCAATGACAAACTCCATAATAACATTTTTTCAAATATTATTGAGCTACATTTTTCATACATAAATTATTCTTGAAGGAAGAGAATCATTAAAAATTCTGCAGAAAATTTTCAAAATTATAAATTTTTCCTCTTAAATTTTTTTATCGTAAATCTGCAAATTATTTTCTAATGTATTTATTGAGAAAAAAGTGTATAAGGGCACCGTGAAACAGGCAGTCCTAATCGGACATATTTAGAGTTTCACTCAGTCTATTATTATCGAATCTACTGGTCTCAGGTATAATACGCCACCGAAGGCAAGAAGAAGGATTACCAAGAAGGAAAAAAAAAAAGAAATTTAGGGGGAAAAGTATTCAGAAATAAAAGAATGTAGATTCAAATTTTAGGAGTGGGAAGTATCGTACATTTTCTCCCAAACGCCTGTAAAACTATCAGGTATGTGAAAAAGATATATTGTGAAAATTTAAGAGCTTCTTTTCCTATTGTTCTCGATTTTTAAGGATATATCTGTCAACCATGAAACGAAAAACTTCGTGAAATGTCAGCAAGCCCGTAGGAATTTTTTAGCACTTCAAGAAGGGGTTATTTTATACCATGAGTGTCAGAGATAAAATAGGTTTCTGACTGCAAAATTTCGAGAACATTCCTGAGTAAGCTATTATCAGCATCCAGAACAAAATTCTTATCTTGTAGCTGTAATGAAACTCTGCAGTAAGATAACTGATTGTCAGGCTCTCTATAGATTATTTTACCTTTATTATTATTATTATTATTATTATTATTATTATTATTATTATTATTATTATTATTATTTTACCGAAACGGAAGAATATTTCCTCTCCAGCATTTTGATAATTCGCCTTTTGTACCACAGTACGCTCGAAAAATAAATGCTGGAAATTTTAAAAGCTGAATTTTTTTTAAATTTTAATATTATCCAATAATGAAGGTTTAAAAATTAATAATAAACTCTGTTTTGAAATATTAAATTGTAATCCGAAA